CCACTGCTCTAATGCCATGAAGGAACACCTCAGCAGGTCATTTGAATTTGCCAGTGAGAATGAGGGCAAGCAGGCAAAGGGCAAAAGCTTCTTTCCACATCTTTCCTATAGGCTGCCACCAGAAGATTGAGAGTGGATCTTCCCACCTCAAATGATCCAATCAAAAACAAAACAAAAACCCCTCACAGGTGCCAGCTGCTTGGGCTTTAAGTTAATTCCTGACATAGTCAAGTTGATATAAAAGTGTAATTCAGTGAAGAGAATACTGAAGAAATGAAAGCCTCAGCAAAGCAAATAAAAAGTTCTGTATGCTGCGGGTCAATGGTCTTGTACCCCGCAAAGATTTGTCTCTTGTACTTGTTTAGTAAAAATGCTGATTGGCCAGTAGCCAGGCAGGGAGTCAGTTCTCTCCACCATTTGGGTGCCACAGATTGAACTTGGGTAATCAAAACTGACAGCATTCCTCTTTACTCACGGGGTCATCTCACCAACCCTCTCCTACTGTTTGTGCGTCATTGCTTTGTGCTGCAGGCTAGCTGGACTTCAAGTTTTCAGATTCCCTTTCTCTGTCTCCCATCTTCAAGTAGGCATGTTGAGATTACACATGTGAGCTATCACAGCTAGCTTTCTATGAGGGTCTCTAGAACAGAACTCAGGTTATTAGGTTTGCATGGTAAGTGCTTTTCCTCACTGAGCCATCTCCCTGTAACCATGAAATTAGTTCTAAGAGGGAAGAATTAAAATTCACCTTAGGGTCTTGGGAAAACAGGATAAGACAAACCTCCAATCAGTGGGTGGAAAGTAAGTGATTGACTAGGGCACTGACTGCAAGGTGGCTGCAAGGGTTAGTTTTTAATTGTCAATTTACCAAAATCCAGAATCATCTGAGAAGAAAATTTCAATGGAGGAATTAAGTAGATCGGGCTGGCCTGTGGGCATGAATGGGGAATACTGTCTTGATTATTAACTGACCCATTCCCTGGATACAGCCCTGACCTATATACAAGTAGAGAGGCTAGTAGACCTGTAAGCAGGCAGGCAACATGGATACTTGTAGGGTAAAGGGGCCAGCCAAAGAAACACACCCTGACCCTGAAACCAGAGCCAGCCAAAGAAACACACCCTGACCCTGAAACCAGAGAGAAAAAAACACACTTTGACCCTGAAATCAGTGAAAGAAACACACTTTAGCCGTGAAACACACTCTACTCCTGACCAACTCATCATAAAAACCTGAGCAGGATTTATCCCAGGCTTTTTCAGACCCAGGCCAGCTGGCCTTGGTGAGATCCCAATAGAACATCCCCATTGTCTCAGTGTGTGGGTGCACCCCTCAGGGTCCTGAGTTCCTTGCTCATGCTCTCTCTCCTTCTGCTCCTGATTCTGTCCAGTGCTCCAATGTGGGTCTCTGTCTCCTTTCATCGCCTGATGAAGGTTAATATTCAGGAAGATGGACTACTGAGAACTCAAGAACAATGGCAATGGGTTTTTGATCCTACTGCACATACTGGCTTTGTGGGAGCCTAGGAAGTTTGGATGTTCACCTTACTAGACCTGGATGGAGGTGGGTGGTCCTTGGACTTCCCACAGGGCAGGGAACCCTGATTGCTCTTTGGGCTGACGTGGGAGGGGGACTTGATTGGGAGAGGGGGAGGGAAAGGGGAGGCAGTGGCGGGGAAGAGACAGAAATCTTTAATAAATAAATAAATTAATAAAAAAAAAACCTGAGCAGGAAAACCAACCCATAACTGAGCATGAAACCAACCCATTCCTAAGCACAAAATCTAGCCAAATCTCTGAGCTTGTTCCAAACTCAGGGATTGAAATCCAGCCAATTCCCACCCTGAAAAGCTTCACCCTGGAAAAACTCTGCCCCTAAGAAGTTATATATAAACCCTATACCTGTTCAGCTGGGAGCTGCCTTTTTCCACCCTGGCCGAGGCAGCCACACTCCTGGATGCTTACCTCCCAATAAATCTCTTGAATGAATTTTGGGTGAAGACCTTTCCCGGGAGTGGAGCAGGGCAGAGAAGTAACAACTTTTGCTGGAGCAGGAGCAAACTGCTACGTTTCTGCTGGGGTTTCTCCCGTTGCAGAGAGGAGCAGAGCACTCAGAGAAGCAGCTGACATGGATCTCTGCAGGGAAACTCTTAGCAGAGCGGAGCAGAGGTGAGCTATAATGGCTCTCTCTGAGAGGAGCAGGATTGCTACATTCCTGAGGGGAAACCATCCCCACCCAGAACAGGGCTATAGGAATAGCCTGGCTTCTGACAGCCAGGATACCTTTCCCTTCCGAGCCGTAACACAGTATTTTTGTTTCTGTTCCTGATTGTGGATGTGCTGTGAACAGCTATTTCAAACTCCTGCCCTAAGACTTCTCTGCAAGGACAGGACTTTTTATGTAACCTGGAATTGTAAGTCAAAGAGACATTACTCCCCTGTCATCTTTTTTCAGGATATTTTTATCATTGCAACAGAAATGAAACTAGGACACAGCTCAGCAGGAAAAGGCACTTGCCTGCAGGGTTGACCACCTAAATTTAATACTTAGGATTGACATGGTGGAAGGAGAACAGACTACAAGTGTGTACTCTGGCCTCATTGTGCACACTGCACAGGCACATGCACACATGCAAAATAAACACAATATTAAATAGAAGGGGCACAGAAATGAACAAAACTGAAATGGAAAAAGATATGAAGAATCCATGAAATGACAGAATCAACAAATCTAACCCAAACTAACCAACACACAGACAGAAGCCCTAATTCAACAAAACAGAGATAAAATGGGAACCATTACAAGATAACAAGGAAAGTCCCAAAAGAAAATGGACAAATTTCTAGAAGTATATAACCGGTCAGTTACATGAAGAGGAGATAAGTAATTTAAACAACTGTGTAACAAGCATCAATACTGAAGCAGTAAAAATAATTAAAAAACAATAAAAATCTCCCAACTAAAAAGAGTCCTGCAGCGATTTGAAGAATGGCCCTTATACATCTGAATGCTTGGTCACCATGGAGTGGACTCTTTGAAAGGATTAAAAGGATGAAGTGTGTAATTGTTGGAGTAGGTGTGGTCTTGTTGGCAGAAGAATGTCACTAGGGAGTGGGCTTTGAGGTTTCAAAAGCCCATGCCAGGCCTAGGCGCGCTCTGCCTCTCTCTGCCTCTCTCTGTCTCTCTCTGCCTCTCTCTCCTTGTGAATCAGGATGTAGCACTCTCAGCTACTGTTCCAGCATCTGCCAGCATGCCACCATCCTCTCTGCCATTATGGTAATGAACTAAGTCTCTGAAACCATAAGTAAGGTCCCAATTAAGTGCTTTATTTTGTAAGTGTTGCCTTGGTCATAGTGTCTTTTCACAGCAAGAGAACAGTGACTGAGACAAGCCCAAACCCAGATCCCAGATAGATTCACGGCAGAATTCTACCAAACCTTTAGGAAAAACACCAACATTTCTCGAAGTAGTCCATAAAATAACAGTTTAAAAATAAAACCAATTTACCCTCCTAGTAACACCAGACAAAGACACTACAAAGAAAATTATAGACCTATCTCCCAATGTAAAAACTCTCAGTACATGCCGGGCGATGGTGGCGCACGCCTTTAATCCCAGCACTTGGGAGGCAGAGGCAGGTGGATCTCTGTGAGTTCGAGACCACCCTGGTCTACAAGAGCTAGTTCCAGGACAGGCTCCAAAACCACAGAGAAACCCTGTCTCGAAAAATGAAAAAAAAAAAAATTCTCAGTACAACACTTGCAAGCCAGGCTGCAGAGATGGCTTGGAGGTTAAGAACATTTATTGTTCTTCTAGAGACCTGGATTTGATTCCTAGCACCAACGTGGCTGCTCACATCCATCTGCAACTCTGGTTCCAGGGGATCCTCCACCCTCTTCTGGCCTTCTTGAGCAACAGGCATGCACTGGCTTACATGCAGGCAGGGCACTCATGCACATAAGAATAAGCCTTTTTATTAATGCACAAAAGAGTTTTGACAAGATATCAATGTTTGTTCCAGCACAATTCACAATAGCTAAGATACAGAGCTAACGTAGGAGTTCAACAGCTGCAGAATAAAGAAAATGTGTTTTATATAGACAATGAATTTTTTTTTGTTTAACTATAAAGAATGCAGTTAGGCTGTCTACAGGAAAATGAATACAAACGAGATATTCATCTGAAGGGAATTAAACCAGTCTCAAAGAGAAAAATACCTGTCTCCTCTCATTTGTGGTTCCCAGATTTTATATAGGTACTTAAAATTACATATGTATACATGGAATGAAAGTAGAGGCCAAACATTCTAGAGAAACAAAGGGAATAACAGGACAGAGAGAAAGAAAGGTAAGAGGGCAAATGGTGAGGCAGAATATGCTCTGTGTTCATTATATACTTATGTAATTTGCCTATGCAAGGAAGTACCATATACAATGGATACATACAATAAAAATGTTTAAAAAGCAGAAGGGAGCTGATTATTCTGGAACATTTAAAGGTATTTAATGGGGGAGGATACTAATTATTAAACTAGACAGCTTTGTAAGTTGCCATAGAGTTGGCATTTTACTTTGAGTGAAATGAAAAACCATTAAGGCTTTTAAGCAGGAGAGTGACATGATTTGGTATATTTTTTAAAAAGTCACAAGGATGCTGGGGAGACAGTTTAGTCTGTAAAGCTTGCCACTTACTTGCTGTACAAGCAGGAGGCCTTGAATTCCACCCATAGTAGCAACTGAGGCAACAACGGTTTGAAATCCCAGGGCTGGCCAGACAGACAGACACAGAACCTTGGGCTCCCAGGTCCACCAGTTTAGGCTAATCTGTGATCTCTAGGGCCCTAGTGCGCTCGCACGTGCACACAATCATGGGGAGGAGAGCAGGACTATTTTAAAATACTGTACCGAGATATAAAGTTAGCAGACCTTTGCAAACAAGAGATAACTGACTTGGGCAAGAGGTGGAGCTATAGTGGACATAATCGAGATACCATTTGATATTCTTGGGTCCCTGCCCTAGCCACGCCCACTCCCATAACCTCTGACCCGCCCATCGCCATCTTGGGACCTCTCTCTCTCTCTTTCTGCTTCCTTAGCGTGCGCACTCGTTTTCTCTCTCTCTCTTTCTTCTTTTATCTCTCCTCTCTCCTTTTATCTCTTTTCTCTGTTTTTCTTTCTCCCCCTTCCTTAATAAATACTTATGGCTATTTCCTGTGTTTACGTGTCTGTTACCTGCCTGCCGCCACCGTGGGCCAAGGAAGCGTGCCCTCCTGTAGCCGCCCTCATGGCGGGCTCCCTCCGCCAGCCGCCCGGGGATCCTTTGTAGCCGCTTTCCCATGGCGGTCACCGCCAGCCCGCCCGGGAACCGTTTGTAGCAGCTCTCTAATCGTTTTTTAAGAATAACATTGGTGCCACGTGACTCCCGAACCGGGTTCTTTTCCACTTCGCCGGCCTACGACCCACGTGTTCCCTGGATGCAGCTCCTCCAAACAACAGATCAACTAATCGTGAGTGTCCCCATCTCGGCCAGCTTAACCATCTCTTCTAACTCAAGGGTTTGACTGTTGAGCTCCCGGCAACCCTTCACGGTTTTTAGGGATGGGGGAACCTCCAACCGCGGGCCTTCAGGGCCTTGGTTTCCTTCGCTGGCATTCAATTCGGCTTGTCTCCTGTGTTAAGCCTCAGCTCACCCGCGCCTGGAGGCCCGGGGTCTCCAGTTCTCTCTTTTTCTTTTTTTCCTTGCTTTTCTCTTCCTTCCTTCTTTTCGTCGTAACTGCTGCTACGGTGCAGCACGCTGCTACGGTGCAGCACGCCGCTTGGTGCGGCCTGACCTTGGCTGAATCCCTCCTGCCTGGGAGTCGCTCTCCCGTCGGAGGCTCGAGTCGATTCAGCCAGGTTATAACACCCCCCCCTATGGAATCGGACTCCTTTCCATAGGGCAGCGGATGTTCGTGCCCTGCATCTCGCCTTAACGGGGAGCCGTTCTCGTTGTAGGCTTGAGGTGCCACGGTTTTTGCGGGTGTTTGCACGGCCTTGACCACGGGAGCCAATCCATCCAGACCTATCACTCAGGCCTCATTTTTTAATACCTCACATTTATCAGTTTTTGTCCAAAATGGCCCCATTAAACTATACACGGCCGTTTTTCGGTTCCAGCCTTTTGCCCCTCCACTCTGCGGCTTTTGTTGTGGCTTGGCGGGCTTTACAACTGAGCAGACTACACATGGCGGTCGCCATCTTGGCTGGAGGCCAGATGGGTCAGGTGACCTTTTCGCCACCATCTTGGCTGAGAGCCAGGTCATGTGACCACACTCTCCCGGTTTTACCCTGCCTTCTCACCAGGTTTTCACCAAACTCCTTATGCTAACTCTGTTAAATGTGTTTTGAGCAATGGTCAAATGCCTTTGATAGGGCCCATCAGAGGCATCCACGTTGCCCAATTCTTGTTCACTCTCTCTATGTATAATTGTTTATTACATCTTATTTCAGACTACAAAACATGAGTCTTGTATTTTAAACTGGTATGTACCTTTAAGTCTCTTAAGCTGTTCTTTACCATTGTCAGTTTTGCCGCTAACCTTATATTTCAAGCAGTTTTTCCCTCTATCTTTTTACAAATGTAAATCTTACCTGTTAAGAGCCAATTTGGTCAAGCTCAGACCCAACTTTCCAAACAAATTCTATACTATAGTTATACCTGATAAACAGCCCTCAACTGCTCAGAGATCTGGGGAATGTGATATTTAAGTGTTTGATTATTAAAATAAAAAACTTTTCACAACAAAAAGAGACAGGTTGGCTCCTAGCAGCAGCTTTCTGCTCCCTCCAAAGAAGACAGTCACGCGCAGAACAACGTCCTTCTGCATCTCGCTTCGACTGCAGAGCGCTGACCATTGGGAAAACCTGCCTTTCATCTAAACTAAAGATCTCTAGACGTGGACGGAATCACCGGAATCGACAGCCTAGCTGCTCAGGTCAAGGTAGGCCTGTCTTCCTACAGATTTCTTAGCCCACAGGATCTTCTGGAGCCTGGCAGGCCCTGCGCTAAACAGCAAAGCTCAAGTGCAACCTTCAGCGACCATGGAGGACCCAAAAAAGAGTAGCTCTGGGTGCCAACCAAGTAAGTTCTCTGTCATTTTTTAATCAGTTACTCAAGTAAAATCTTATCCTTCTCAAAGATCTCTGACAGTCTGACAGCTGAGAGGTTTCGCCAGGTTGAGGTTTTACAAGGTGACCTCACCAAATTTCAAACCAAATTTATCTCTTATGCTACAGTCATTATATGTCTAAAACTTCTGTTTTCACAAACCCAAGGAGTTCTCATGAGTTCCAGGGAGCCAAATCAAGAAATCCATCTTAAACAGGTCAGATACCCCCTCAATTCCCTGGTCCTAAAATTTTTTCCTTTTAACCTTAATTTGACTTTGTTCTTTGTTCTGCCAATAACTTAGGGACTCCAGACATTCCCATGCCACAGACATCGGTCAGAAGCAAAGAGACCAGCTATGCCAGGATGTTCCCAGCACCCCAGCCTTCTCTCGCACCCCTCCCCAAGACGACGCCCACAATCAGCCGGAAGCAGTCTTGAGAATTCGCCGCCCCAATTCCTTCAAACTGAAGTGTCTAATTTGCTTTTTATCAAAAGCAAGATGTGGGAATGATATTCTTGGGTCCCTGCCCTAGCCACGCCCACTCCCATAACCTCTGACCCGCCCATCGCCATCTTGGGACCTCTCTCTCTCTCTTTCTGCTTCCTTAGCGTGCGCACTCGTTTTCTCTCTCTCTCTCTTCTTTTATCTCTCCTCTCTCCTTTTATCTCTTTTCTCTGTCTTTCTTTCTCCCCCTTCCTTAATAAATACTTATGGCTATTTCCTGTGTTTACGTGTCTGTTACCTGCCACCACCGTGGGCTAAGGAAGCGTGCCCTCCTGTAGCCGCTTTCCCATGGCGGGCTCCGCCAGCCCGCCCGGGGGATCGTTTGTAGCCGCCCTCATGGCGGGCTCCCTCCGCCAGCCCGCCTGGGGACCGTTTGTAGCCGCTCTCTAATCGTTTTTTAAGAATAACACCATTCATTGGTAAAGATCTGGATAACCTATGCAGGAAGCAAAGCTAAGCGAAGAGGCTTTGCTAAACAACTAGTTTTTCTGTGGTAAACGAACCTGGAGGAAAGAACAACCAACGAAGAAGCTCTACTCCGAACTATAATAACGGCTTTTATTAATTGCAATGCTCACTATGTGCAACTGTGCTGGGAAATTTACAGAAAATAATTCAATTAAAAAATCCCAACACCGCCAATGAACGCTTTGCCTTAGTTTTCTCGAAAGCGGGTTCTGAAGTGGGGTAGGGGGTGGGGTCGTCTCACCGCTAAGGAGTGCTGGAAGTCGAATCTCAAGTCGATCTCCGCGGCAGCTTCTCTATAAGGGACCACGTCTCTTTTCTACGAAATCGAGACTATTTGTAATCAGTTTGTACTGTGCGATCATATCCCTATGCAAGGCGCCTTATGTACTTCGGCACCGAGCAATCGCCTTGGCGATCGAGCGTCCCGGGCGCACACCACGTAGTTTCTAGACTGGTAACCAAGTTAAGCCCTCTCGCAAGCCATTGGTCAGAACTGGGAAGGAGCCCCGCGATTGGTGGACGCTCGGTTTCCTCGCGGCGGGCCCCTCTCCGCCCGAAATTCTCTTCGAGTCGCAGGCGCTTCCGGGCGGCGCGAACCTCTGACGTCTCCTCTTCCCATTGGCCGGGGGCCGCGGCCACAGTTCCGTTGTCTGACTGGCTGCCCGCGCCGCCTCGGAGGTGAAGTGTACCGCGCTGATTGGCTGCGGAGTGGCGGCCGCGTGTGATGTCCCCGACGGCGATTGGCCCACGCCTGGCTGCTCGCCGGCTCTGGGGGCTCCCGGAAAGTGGCAGCTGAAGAGGGGGCGCGCTAGCTGTCTCGGCGGCCCGGCGAGAGACCCCGGCGTGAGGCGGCCTGTCTGGGCCGGAAGGGCTGGTCAGCGCACGCAGCGGCACGGGAGGCCGAGAGTGCGGGACCAGGCGACACCATGGCCCCGCAGAACCTGAGCACCTTCTGCCTGTTGCTGCTGTACCTCATCGGTGCTGTGATGGCCGGGTGAGGACGGGGCTCGGCGCGGCACGGGGCCCGAGGGGCGGCCTTTGCTGAAAAGGACGCTGGTGGCAGCGAGGAAGGGGCAGTGAGCTGGGCCGAGGGACGGAGGGGTCGTGTGGGCCAGGCTGGCCCTGCGGAGCCAGATTTCCCAGAAGAGCGGGAGTTGGTTGCAGTTGGTTTGGGCATTGGAGGGAGTTAAGTGGCTGTGAGCAGAAGTAGGACACGGAACTCTGAGGAAGGGACGGGGCTCCTGATGGAAATGAAGGTAGTGAGTGCCAAGCCGGGGTTGAGGTTATGGACATGGATTTGCTGAACTCGAAGGTGGGACCGTGGGTTACCAAGCTTGCAACCGGCGTCCGAGGGGCGGACACTAAAGTGGGTGGGCCATGATGCCAAGTCAGATGCAGGTAGGGAAGCCAAGCTCGGACTGAAGGAAATGGGCTTGAGGGAGCCACAACACCCTTTAGGGAACCTTCGTGCTTCCCACCTTGTTGGGCTTAGCGAACCTGAACTGTCATCTGAGCTCCCTGTCTCTCCACGGTTCCTTCTTGAGCTGGATGGTACCAGTGCGAAGTGCTGTTCACTAGCAGGTAATAGAAACTGGGAGCCTAGCCTTAGGCCACTCTTAGGAATCACACAAGTTTGAAGGAACTTTATCGATGTTCTGAAACTGGGCAAAACATTGTACCTCCCTTCAAGGAAAAAGAGCAGACTTTTGAGGTTCTCCCAGCATCTAAAATGCACGACCCCAGAGTTCCGATGACTCAGGAGGTGTGCCAGACTTGTGTTCAGAATTCAAGGGCATCTTCTGCTACACTAGGGAGTGAGTTCCAGGCTTGCCTCGCCTACATCACACCCTATCTCAAATAAATAAGAAACCACAAAAATTACACACCAGAAACTAGCAGGTGTCAGATTTTGACAGTCTGTAGGTTGTGTTACCACCAGTAGCTTTTAAAGTGTTTCCTGTATGCTCTTTGCCCTTTGCATATATGCCTACATTTTGTCTTCTTTTTACCTTGTGAAATATTTTAAATTTCTAAAAGTTAGCATTTCTTACATAGACTGTATTGTTTTCCCTTAGTTTGATTAAACCAAAGTATTTAGCAAAACATCAGCATAGAGTGTTGCAGTTGGGAGTTGAGGTGTGTAGCTGAGAGGAACCTTGAACTCCTTCATGCTCCTTCAGCCTCCGCTTCCCATGTACTGGGATTCCATGCATGAGGGACCATTCCTGGCAAATACTAATATTTTTAAATCCTATAGCTTTAAACTCCAGTCACTCATAAAGTAGCCTCTGGGGAATAGAATGTTGGCACTGAGCTATACCAGCCATTTTTCTGAGCTGTCATTTAACCTCTTCCCTCTTTTCTTATTCCCTGACAACTTCATACATGCACAATACCTACCCACAATCCCCCATCCACCCCCACCCACACTCCCCCTGGGCACACGTATCATGCCCCCTTCCCACCTTCACATAACTCACTGAGCCCACTTAGCTGCTGTGGCTGCCAGGATGGGGACTAATGGTATTAGAGGTGTTCTTTGCGAAGGTCTTGTTCGGGCAGCCATAACTAGAGTGAGACCATGAGTGCCATTTCCAGAAGACAGAATTTGACAGCGCTCCTCCCCTTCCCCTGCTTTTACGTTCTTTCTGCCCCACCTCCCACGGTGTTCCCTGAACCTTGGGGACTTGGGGAGAGGCAGGGAAGGTTGAAATAGATGTTCCATTTAAAACCAAGCACTTAGAAGTCACTTACCTCTTCTCCACACTTGGACCAATCTCAATGCGCTAACTACTGCCACCTGTACAAAGATGCCTCTATGCTCAGAGTGTGTGAATCTATCTATAGCCGTAGCCTAAACATTTACAAGATATAATTATATTGCAGGTATAACCTAAAAATCACATGTCTATTTAACAAAATAGCAGTAATAGGTCTCCCCCTACCCCAGGGCCTATGACCTCCCCAGCCATGGGTTTTCAAACAGCTTTACAATACCAGATAGAAATTCCCTTCTGTGGAGCAGGCCTCAGATCCAATCAGAAAGCAGTAGGTTAGCCCTCTAATCTTTGCATCACTATTGTACCAGATGTGGGTACATCTTGCCTTTTTGGCCAATGTTAGTAATTTTTCTCCTCACGCAGCCTACGTAACTTGGCGCTGTGAAAGCTGGCCAGGAGGCAGGAAATTCTCATGTCATCTCCAACTTAATTTCTCTGTATCCTGTAACCAAAGTGTGTGTGTCATCAGCAGTAGAGGCTTCCATCGACTTATGATGGACAACCAAGGACAGTAGTGACAGCTTCTTGTTTGGGGGGCACTGAGATTTTCACTTCATAATCCATGCCTTCTAAGGGAAAGGTCGTCCACTCATGCAGGGTACCTATGTTCAGAGTCCTCTATCTCTGTGTATCCATCTGTCTGTCTGTCACTAAGATTTTATTTTTAAGTACATGTACATTTATGTCCATGTGCGGGTATGGACACGTAAGTGCAGGTGCCCATGGAAGCAAGAAAAGGGTTTTGTATTCCCCAGAGCTGAAGTTAAAGGTGGGTGTCAGTCACCCATCATGGGTGCTGAAAACTGAATTCAACTCCCCTGTAAGAACTTTAAGATCATGTTTGGGGGGCACTTTATATATTTTTTGAATTAGCTAACAAAGTAGTGGCTTTCCATAGTTTTTAAAACATCCTTATTTTTGTTTAATCCACCCTTCTACATAAGCATATTCTTAAGAATATTACTTAAGTAAGCCTCACTCTCTGTATAGTTATCCTTCTCATTATTAAATAGCTGGTTCCTTTCTCATGAGATGTCAAGAATTTACAGATTAGGTAGGGACTTCCTGTGGGTGATAAGTTTTAAAAATGATATAGTTGAGCTGGGCTGGGTGGGCACGCCTTTATCCCAGCACTTGGGAGGCAGAGGCAGGCAGATCTCTGACAGTCTGTGGCCAACCTGGTCTACAGAGTGAGTTCCAGGGCAGCCAAGGCTTCAGAGAAACCTTGTCTTGAGAAACAAAACAAAATGATATAGTTGATCTGGACACGGTTCATATGCCTATAAACTCAGCATTTATGAGGTAGAGGCAGGAGGGTCAGGAGTTCAAGACTGACCTCAGATACATAGTAAGTTCAAAGTCTTGAAACTCTGTCTATCAAAACCAACCCAAACCCTGACAGAATGATTAAAATACCAAATGACTTTTCAAACAGTGTGACTCAGAGTATAAACTAATCACAGCTTCCTGAATACCTACCTGGACTGCAAGTGTGTGCCATCATGAATTCAGGGCTTCAGAAATTAGAGGCAACCATTCTACTGACTGAGCTACCCCATACAATACATTTTTTAATATTCATTTTCCCTATACATTTGAAGATTACCATCCATACTATGTTAATATCTATTCTGTAACTTTTCTAGCTTCATTATTAAAATAATGTTTTCATAATAAATTCTGATAGGTAAAATTCTGTCCAAAAAAGTAGATGGTGTGAGCATTCGTATGTGTTCAGCTCATTCGGGGATAATCTGGATATGGCCCTTCCCTGGAATGTCTTTTATAGTCCTGTTCTAGCTTTCCATTAACACTTCCTGCAGAAACCCTTTTATGGCTGATCCCAGCGCAGCCCCTGGCTGTGTGCTCTACTTTATGTCCCAGTTCATGCTATTTGCATACTTTTAACTACCAGGATATAGAGGCTCCTGCCTGTGAATGTAGAGGCTGTGTATCACAAAGACCTGA